CTTGAGACTCCCAGTGAATGAAGCCCTCCCCATAATCTAATACCCTTTAACCAAGAAACTCTAAAGACAAGCCACAAGTCCCTGGGTTTTCCAGAAGCTTTTTCTTTCCTTTCACCCACTCCTCACCTGGGTGCCCGAGGTGGGGTACCCAGTAGGACGAGGAATTCTCTCACGATACCTGATTCTCCCATACCAGCCCTGGGTTTGCATGTCACCCTGTTTGGGCCTAACTGCTCCTTTTTTATTTCAAGAGGATGCACAAAACCTGAGAATCATAATTTTAATTTTGTCAAAGCCATATCTGCACAGGATAGAAAGTGCAGATGAGCTTAACATGAAAAGTAAGGTCTCCATCTGCTCCAAGTCCCCAGAAGGCAGGTTCAATGTTTCAGTTCTTCTATCATCTTTCCTTACATCTAACTGGTCTAGATCCTAGGCTTACCCCACTTTGAATATATTTGCTAATTTTAGGCCATGACTGTCCAACTGTGATATAAAAGATAGTGATTAACCTGTCTGGGCATAACTCTGCTTCCAGTATGTGATACTTATGTTTTAATGCTTATACAAATTATCTCTAACTGGAATCACCGTGTGTGACATGTTCCAAATCTAATTCCTCATCCTGAATTCATTCAGACTGTGGTGAGGCTTAAAAAAATATATATATGTTAACTTGATCAAGAAGAGCTGTGTTCCCGGAAAAGTAAAGAAGGTGGAAAATACCCAGAATTGGTGTTTTGTTTCCCAAAAGGAAGTATGATCTCCATGATGGGTTTACTGTTTGACATTTCCAAAACAAGTGCCACTGTTGGACATTGGAGGTTGATCTCTAAATAACACTAATTGGGGAAGTGGAAACTTGGCTGAATTGATGGAAACTGCTTCAAGAGATCCCAAAAGGACTCTGAATGGAATCATTTGAAGGAGAAAGCAGTCGTTGTTCAGGCCTAGGCAACCGTTAAGGAAGGCAAAAAGAACACATTGGTCAAATTGGCCAAGCCTAAAGAGGACGTTTTGAAAGAAGCAGTAAACATTGCCCAAAACTGTCAAAATGAGAGGTACTAAGCACAAAGTGCACAGTGTGCATAAAGTGGTATAAGCAGGAAAATCCCCAAATACTCTCCACAGAAAGGGCTCCTGGTAACAAAACGCCACTGTGAAATGCAGGGGAGTCTTGGGACCGAGGGTGTTGAGAGTCTCATCTGTTGTTTTTCCCCTTTTAACCATAAAACACTTGCTCCAAAAAAAGAAAAAAAAATCTAGAGGCTATTTTGAGAGTGGGGACAGGGGTGGTGGGTATTGCACTAGCCAGCAGTCACAAGGTACTGTGAAAAAGTCTCACCCAGCATCACTGCCCACATTTCCCCACTTAAACTTGACCTAAAGCCATGTCATAGAGAAGAAGAGGAAGCTTGAAAAGACTGGGATGTGCTAGGATTTCACATTTACAAGGGCAGAACACAAGATTTGAATACAAATTTCTCAACAGTACGTGTGTGTGGATGTGTGTGCGTGCACGCACATGTGTTGTGTTGGGGATGGACACATGGCCTTGCATATGACAGGTAAGCATTCTACCACTGAGCAACACCCAGAGCCCCTCAATACTTTGAATTCGAAACTCAGGAAAGTAAGTATGATTGTTAGAACCTGAGAGGCCTCTGACACTATTGGAAGATGGTAGAAACCTAGGAGTTGGAACCAAGTGGGAGGAAGTTAGATCACTGGGGTTGTGCCCTTGCAGGAGACTTTTCGACTGTGGCCCCTCCTCCCTCCCTCTCTCTGTCCTTCTCTCCTTCCCGGCCACCATGAGGACTGCAGCTTTGCTCTATCATGCATTCCCCATTATGATGTTCTGCCTCACCACAGGCTTAAAAGCAACATGGCCAAGTGACCATGCACTGAAACTATGAGCCAAAATAAACCTTTTCTCTTTAAGTCGTTTATCAGCGACAAAAAGCCAACTAACACGGAATCTTTCAAAAAGAGCCATCCTATTTAGTTATCCAGAATAAGTTTTCTTGAACTTTGATCTCAACCTAAATCAGACCAACAGTCTAAACTCAAAGCCTAATGACAACATGCAATTTTCTGGCCTGAGTCTACACCATCCAAAGGAACCTAAAGAGTCATAGAAACCACTGCTCCTCCAGCTTCCTTTTACACCCTTACACCCCTGTCCAGCGTCTCAACTCCTGGGAATACTCCTTAGTTGATGTTACAGCCAAACATAACACTAGGCATACTTTCTCAATAATCAATGAAATAATAAACAACACAGACACCAGTTATGGAGTGCCTGGTTCTACTGGATATTTTGTCAGTGCTTCACACCCCACACTTCGTCCATTTCATAACAGCTCCTTGAGGAATAACAAATCATTCTAATTTAATGGCTATGGGAACAGAAGATCACATAGTAAAATTTGTAAATAAACAGAAGATCACAAAGTAAAATTGTGCCCTGGGTACTGCAACTAGCCAAAGGTACAAATCAGATCGCAACTCCAGTGTGTCCAACTCCAAAGACCTCCTCAACCCCTGCCTTCTCCCCTTCTTTGGTTTCTATAAACCATAGCATATTGGCCATACAAATCATGTAACAACTCTAAATGGATCCAATGATGGAATGTCTTTTTTGTTTCCCCCACAATCAACCAAGATGCCTTTCCCACCCTGTCCCAGTTCTGTACTCCCTGTCCACTTGGTGATGAGCACCCCAATTGTTCCTTTTACCCTTCAGGGCAAGTGCTGGCCTGTTTCAACTCAAAAAGCTATTTTTGCCAGGTGCTGTGGCACACACCTGTAATCCCAGTGGCTCAGGAGGCTGAGGCAGGAGGATTGCAAGTTCAAAGCCAGTATTAGCAACTTAGCAAGACCATGCCTCAAAATAAAAAAAATAAAAAATAAAAAGGGCTGTGGATATGGCTTAGTGGTTAAGCACCCATAGATTCAATCCCAGTACAAAAAAAAAAAAAAAAAAAAGCTAATTTAGGGGCTGGGGTGGTGTCTCAGTGGTAGAGTGCACACCTAGCATGCTTGAGGCACTGAGTTCAATCCTCAGTGCCACATAAATGTAATATAAAGATATTGTGTACACTTAAAACTAAAAAAATATTAAAAACAAAAGCTAATTTAAACTTTTCACAAATTTTTGGATACTTGAAGTATTCAGAAAAGAACAAAATAATAAAGAATAAATTTAAGGACACGGTTTGTCCTTTAAAAAAAATTGAGGCTTGAGTCCTCAAAGTAACAATGTTGAGAGACAGTAATACCTTTAGGAAGTAGTTAGATTATAGGGTTTATTTAGTTCCAGTGAGAATTAGTTAGATCTCACTGAACTGGATTAATTATCGTGAGAGTGGATTGTTATAATACAGGCAACCTCCTTTCTGTCTCTCTCTCTCTTTCTCACTATATGACCACTCTTCCTTAAGAATTCACTGACTTGCTGCCTTGAGGTCTTCACTAGAATTTCAGCAGAATGCTGGTGCCATGTTCTTAGACCTCCAGAATGGTGAGTTCAATAAACCTCTGCTTACCCAATCCCAGATATTTTGTTATAGTAACAGAAACAGACCAACACTTGTGTTTCCAAATAATAAAGGACTGAGGTAGAACCTGCAGAGCTGGGGGTTTAAGATAGGAACAATAGCATCAATTATAATGACCGATACATGAAGCACTTCTTTAAAACTAAGACCCAAGCTTCAACTTAACACAGAACCCAGAGACTCAATGATAGAAGGATACAGCCATGAGACAGGGGCTGGCACCAGGAAGGAGACCCACCTGGCAGGTAGGGTTCAGGAAATGTGCTTAAGTTTGAGTTGTGTCCTGACATTTTTCTCCCTTTCCTGACCAAGGTCTAGTGATGACCTTCCTACCCCATACCCATGCCTCTTTCATCCTGCCAGCCAAAGCAACCAACATATTTTCAAGAAACTGGCATATTGCAGAAATGCTGTTGGATTGTTTTGTTGTTTGTTTGTTTGCTTCATTTTCTGTTGCTAACAACACCACACCACAGCCTGGGTAAAGAAAAGGGGATAATTTTAGCTCACATTTCTGGTCCAAAGTTGAGAGGCCACATCTGAAAATAACTTTCTCCCTGGCAGAGTCCCAGGTAGCATAAAGCAACCCATGATGAGAGACAGAAAAATGCCTGGGAGACCTAGCCACACTGACTTTTATAGTGGAACCACTGTCAAGATAACGCATTGGCTCATTAATCACATGAATGGATTGATCCATTCACAAGGGCAAAGCCCTAATCAAGTCTTAAAAGTTGGGCAGGTCCCATCTCTTAATATCTCAAAGTAAGAATTATAGTTTAACTTGAGGTTCAGAGGGGACAAATCATACTCAAATCAAAACAAAAGGGGAAAAAATGAACTGCTCTATAAACAGTGCGGGAAAAGCCAGCTGTACATTCAAGGCACTTTTTTATAATATAATTAGAGTGGGGAATCAATAAAGCCCTACATACAGATCCTTACCTCGTACCACACGCCCATTTAGACTTCAGCCTGATCACATATGTAAATATTAAAAGCAAAAGAAAACAACATGTTTAGAAGAAAATATGGGAGAACATATAAAAAGATTTTAAAAATGAAATGCAAGAGAAGCACAAACTCAAACAAAATACTATACAGTGAACTGTTTATTTTTTAGAATGTAAAGTTAAAAAAACATTAGCATAGTGATTCATAATAAAGCTAAATAAGGGACCCTACCACATCTAAGCAAATTTATTTCTGGGCATTTCCTAGAGAAACTTTCATGTGTCTAAACATAGAAGTCCGATGAAATGTTCATTGTACCCAATTTTAAGAAGAAAAGGATAGAATCCAATCAGTATAGAATTGATAGGGAACAGATATGAATGGTGGGAACATGAAGTTAAGGGAATAATTCTCTAAAATGGGCTCACCATGCTGACTCCCACATGCTTTCTCTTTAAAAAAAAAAAGAAGAAAAAAGCAATTTACCTGCCACTCTGCCTGGCTTAAATCCCAGGATAAGTTACATTTCTTCACCACTTGTTATCTGCAGGAGAAATGCAGGTCCCAAGATGCTGATAAGAAAGAACATATGTTACCCCAAAGCAGGAAAGACTTTTATGACCCTTATACAGACCAGATTCCAGAACTCCGAGAGAAAAGGATAATTCCCCCTAACCATGAAATCTCGGAAGAACAAGTTCCAATTAGAACTGATCAGCACATGCCACAGTGACCAAGAGCTGTCATGCACCATTAGGACTTGAAAGTCTGATGTCATCCTGCTGTCTGTCAAAAGTCAAGAGTCAGATCTGAATGGTACTCTCTGGAAACTTCGCCAGAACCCCCAATTAAACTGGAGAATAGGAGAGGCAAACTGAGAATGTCCCTTGAAAAAGTCCCCTTTCACTTTTTCCATCCCTTCTAATAAATTCAGGCTGTTATTCTAAGCAACATGTCTGAAATCTTTCTGATTTGATCCTAAAAATTAGGGTTTGAAGGGAGTCTTCACACTGCCTCAGTTCATTGGAAGCCCCAGCCCTGTGACAGAATCAACTCAGTTGGAAGTCATGAATTAATTGGTTTTCTAGGTCAAGGTTCTAATGAATAGAGAAAAACAGTGATAATGAAGGAACTCTATCTACACAATGACTCTCACAATGATGGTTTGAGTAAAAATACCAAGCTGTACGAAATACAGTGTAACTATTATTTATGTAAATTTTTAAAAAACATTCAACTTAGTAATGTACAGCTCGAAGATATCTGAAATGCTTAGAGCTTATTTTGGATTTTGAGATATGAGATATCTTGTATATAAGGCTCAAATCTAAATATGAAATTCACTTATATTTCATACTCTCCTTGGGCACAAAGCCTGAAGGATACTTTTTTATAATATAATTAGTGCACCTGTGTTACCATGAGCTACCACATGGGGTCAGAGGTAGAATTTTCCACTTTGGGCATCGTTGTATCAGTAGGTTTCAGATTTTGCAACATTTTCAGATTTTGAATTTTCAGGTTAGGGGTCCTTCACCTATCATCGTGGTTGATTATCTCCATGTTAAAGTGCAATGGGTCAACGCATGTGGAAGGCTTAGGAGAGTGCCTGGCTAGAATGAACTTAGATACTATAATCAGTGTTCTGAGAGAGACAGGGGTTAAACCCCAGGTGTTTGGATATTCAATCATACCGAAATACTGCAAACTACATTTTACCTAGTAAAAGCGACATAATAACATTTTTGTGCTTTTTATTTATCTAAAGTGTTTTAAAAGTCTTTAAATTTTTAAAAAATAACAATGATCAGAGTTAGGAAAAAAGAACAATGGTTAGGAAAAAATTTATCCTAGCGGGTGCTCAAAGTTTAGTAAGTCAGTGAATTAGATCCTGTGTTCGGCAAAGGCAAGGGGGCTTGAGGCTTTCAGAAGGGAGGAAAAGACATTTTAATAGGAAATAGCAGCAACAAATACACTTCTAACATGGATAAATTTAAATCAGAAACAGTTTTTCTCTCTTATTTCCATCCTCAAATCCAGCTTGCCAACACACAAACCAATGAAAGCCTTGATTTTTGTGTAAATAAACATGGAAAGATGTGGGAAAGCCAGTTATACTCATGTGGAAAGAAAGAATCTTCTCCCAAGCAAGAGCCTTAGAAGGCAGAGATAGGGGGGCACCGAGTCCTGGCACCAGGAGCCTCAGAACCCAGCCCTGAGGGAAAGGCAGCGACAGCAAGAAACAAAGGGAAGGGCTACTGTGGCTTTGCACACGTAGCAAGACCTCCCCGATTAAGAGCTCATATGTTTTATAAAAATGGTCTTCTTTTGACTTTTTCTTTGCCATTGTCAGATCCAATTGTTGCCTTTCTTTTTGTTGTTGTTGTTTTAAATTTGCTGCAAGTCTATGTGAGATCCATCCTTTAAATCATCGAAACTTAACTGAAAACGGCTCAGAACTGTGGGAGGGGCAAGGAGGATGCAGAGTGGCCCTGGCATCCTTGGAATCCCTCAGTAACTTCTGTCTCTTCTTTCTTTTTTTTTTTTTTAAATATATTATGCTTACATTTTTTAAAATACCTTTCTTTCTTTCTCTTTCTTTCTTTGTTTCTCTTTCTTTCTTTTTCTTTCTTTCTCTTTCTTTCTTTTTCTTTCTCTTTCTCTTTCTCTTTCTTTTCTTTCTTTCTCTTTCTCTTTCTTTTCTTTCTTTCTCTTTCTTTCTTTCTTTCTTTCCTTTCTTTCTTTCTTTCTTTCTTTCTTTCTTTCTTTCTTTCTTTCTTTCTTTCTTTCTTTCTTTCTTTTTATTTGGTGCTGAGGATCAAACCCAGGGCCTTGCACGTGCTAGGCAAGCACTCCACTGCTGAGCCACAGCCCAGCCCGTCTGTCCCTTATTTCTTCAAACCTATCATAACAATGCCTCCTGTTCTGAATCCTGTCACTTTTTTCTTCTTTGATCACATGGACTCTAAGCACCCTTTTGTATTTCAGCCCGTGGAACACCTGGGGAAATTGAAGGGCATGCTGCAAAGGGATGTCAAGCAATCAGTCAACAGAAGTGGCCTGGGAGTCAGTCAGATGATCTGGAAACCAGGGGGCCCATGGGGCAAGAGCTAGAGGAGGTGGCTAAAGAAGGTAGGCTGTGAGGACAGCAGCCAGAGCTCAGAGAAGACACCGAGCCATGTGTAGGGGAGCCAGGAGAGCATCATGCACTTTGAACACAGGCAGCTGGCTTGGATGGCACCCCAATGCCTGCACCTCACTTTTACCCTCACAGATAAGAGTTGGTGATTTGGTCTTAGTCATTGCTGACCTTCTCTGATTGTTCTCAATTCTTCCAGAAATAGCAGAAGTTTGGTTCTAGGGAATCAGGCCCATTTCGGTGAGTAGTTACTGACGTTACAGGGTGAAGCCTTCTGAGAAACTACAGCAGTGTGAAGTTCCCCCTCCTTAAACCTCGATTCTCAGATCAAGTCAGAAAGATTTCAGACATGTCTCTAAGAGAAACAGGCATGAGTTAAGTAGAAAGGATGGGAAAGAAAAGGGGAATACTCTCAAGGGGGAGAGTGGGTCCTCTCAGAGAGGTGGGGGCCTATGTGCCTCTCTTCCCCTCCAGTTTCATAGAGGGTGGGGGAGTCTCTAGAGAGTCCAGCTCAGGTCTACCTCATGACTTTTGACTGACAGCAGGATGGCATTAGACTTTAAGTCCCCACTGCCATGACAACCATAGGTGGCTTTGGCCCATGCTGACCACTTCTGATTAGAACCTGTTCTTCACAAATTTTGTGGTTAGGGGGAATTATTCTTATCCCCTTGAGTTCTGGGATCTGGTCTGTGCAGGGGTCACCAAGGTTCCCCCAGCTTCTGGGTAACTTGTGTTCTTCTTATTAGTATTTTGGAGCCTGCATTTCTCTTGCAGACAACAGGTGGTTTGCTGAAGGATGTAACACAAATCCTGTCCACTTAAGCCAGGCAGGGTTGCAGATAAAATACTTTTTAAAAGTGAAAGTATGTAGGGGGTCAGCACAGTAGGCCTATTTTATAGAATCATTTTCTTAACCTTATGTTCCCACCGCTCATGTCTGTCTGTCCTCTGTCACTCATATCTTCCCATGAGACCCATCTGTGGTGCTTAGTACCAGCAACACAAAAATGAGCACCTCAGAAATCATACTTGCCCCGAAAGGATGATGGTTCAGTACCTGCCCAGTATTAATGACTTATGAGACAGAACTCCTCCAAACAAAGTCAAAGGAGCTTTGAAAACCAGAAACATTTGACATGGGTATTGAAGGATGAGCAGTAGTCAATGACATCCCAGATTCCTGATGAAGGGACAGCCAGGTAGAGAACCGTGACAGCCTGCTGAGACCTCACTGGCAAGGCACCCCAGGCCTTCTGTCATGGTTTTGTACCTGTTCTCCAAGTTCTAAAAGTCTAGAGATCACAGTGACTGTTCTTATCTTGGCTTATCTCTTAGGAAACTGATCTCTCTCACTTCTCAGGCAAGGGTTGCAACAAAAGTGCAGACATACTTGTAAGGGCTAGAAATGTGCACACACCCATCATTCCAGTCTGGGTAAGGTGGCCCACATCCCTTCCTTGGCTGTACAGTGAGGACAGATCTGGTGCACAGGGCCCTGAGCCGTCCCTGGTATGAGAGCACATATGGGCATACGCTTGGGAAGCCTGTGCACCTGTGCTTAGAGCAGGGGCCCCACCAACAGTTTACAGAAGAGACCTGTGCTTGCCAGTCCCTGACTTGAGAACATGCGAGTTTCTTCCATGAGTATTGCTAGCCTCTGTCAGGACACTCACAACCTATCCAGGTGTGTGTCAGGATTCTAGTTCTCGTAGGACTCCACAGCCCATTCCTCCAGAAAACACAACGACATTTCCACATTTACCCCTTCCTTACTGCTCAACTTACACCATCATTCTCCAGCAAGAAACCATAATATTTACACTTGAGCTGCAGTTTTAGTGATCTTAAAGCCATCAAGGAAAAAAAAAAAAGATGCAATCTCTTTGGGGGATGTTTTCATTCACATCTGGATGCATTCCTCAAATGATAACACCAAATATCTTACTCATTGCAAATAACACATTCCAACCTGTCATTACCCTGCCTGGATGAAATTGACCCCTGGAAGATTGTGGAACAGTGGGTGTGGAAATGTTCTCTGAAAGGAACAATCAAAAGACATGTGGAATAGGAGACAGAGGAAGCCAGCTCCCTAAAACAGGGGCCACTGTGTTTACTACACTAGGGTGCAGGAGATGAGAGCACATGGGGTTGGGGGCAGGGTGGGGTAGCAAGGCTGGGAGTCCCCAAGGTTGGAAACCCCCGACGTGCAGTTGTAGTGAAACCAGAATTTTGATGAAACTTGAATCTCTGCTTCTGTTGGTGGGTGGGATCTGTGAAAACTGCAGGCCTCTCTGAGTGGCCTGCTGTATCTCTTAGTGTTGAGGCTCTAAATAGTGAGTGGGCTGTGCCCTTCAGGGTTGCAATAGGATCCAGCAACTCACTGCCAACTTCACTCTGGGTTCTTGTCTTACAAATCCAAATAATGAAACTCACAGACAATGAAATGCAAAATGAAAGAAGTGAGATTTATTCAAGTGTGAAGAATAGGAACCAGGGACAGAGGGGACCCTAATAGGGGTTGCCTCCTGAATGTGCTAGTCTAGGGGTTTCTATTGCACTTGGGTCAATACTGTTGGGTCAAATTTATGCTAATTAGGGCTTGGAAAAGTACCAACACTATTGTGTATCCCTGAAATCCCATTCAGGTCTGCACCATTTTTGTTTTCTTGCTGGTTGAGTAGTGGGAGGTTAAGTCAGATCATGGATACTCAGAGATGGGGGACAGGGGTGGGGGTTTCAGGCTGCAGCACTGTATGGAGAGAGTGGCTGCACCAGACCCAGGCTGCCACAGTACAAGAAGTCAGGGTGCCCTGGCTCAGCTTGGCCCTGGCTTGCTGTGCCTCAGGCCTGTACTGACATGGCAGACTCCGTCCAGCCCAGTCTGTGCTGGCTACCTGTGCTCCAGCCCACCCAGGCTTCTGTTCTGCTGCTCCAGGACAGGGACCTGGCTTCACCAGGAGATCTTGATTGCTGCAACTTCTGGACCTAACCCTGAGGGATCACCATGCAGAAGGCCAGCCACACGATCAGGTGCAAAGCAACCTCTCTTCTCCAAAGGGCCTGACCTGGTGACTAATGCCTTGAGTCTTGAAGCTCTCCTTCACTTTATCACCAGGTGATGTGCTTTTTCCCTTTTCCTGATCCTGTGTGCTCCTTCCCCCTCCCCCATTCCTCTCAAGTTGAGCTATTTCTGACTTGTGGCTGGGTTTAGTATCCATGCCCCCAGGGACATATTCTGAACCTGGACAACTCACAGTGTGGCCCCAAGGACCAATAACATTACCATCCCCTAGAATCAGTTGAGAAATGCAAATTCCTGGCCTTTACAGACCTCCTGGGTCAGAATACTAGAATCAAGATCTTGTATTTTAACAGCCTTCAGGAGATTCTGGTCCCCTTGAAAATTTGCAAGTAGCTGAAGATAAATGTTGAAAGCATATTTCATGGGGACAAGGCTTAAGTCTTGCCTATAAAAAATGTATAATTCAGACTTGTCAGGACACCATTTGCTGCCAGAGTTGGAGGTTGCAAAGGTCTCTGATTTCCAGAGACCAGACTCCACACGTAAACTGTGCCCAAGGAGCTGTGATCAATCTGGCCACAAGAGGGCACCAACGACCACCTCTCAGCCATCCTTAGTCTGAGTTGCCTTCTCTGTCTTCATCTCCCTCTTTCTCCACTCCCATTACTCTAATGAAAATGGCCACTCCTCTGAATTCCTCTGGAGGATTGCATTCACTTAATCAGCCAGGATTCCAGGCACAGCAGTGGTGGTTTAATCCGGGGCTGAGAAACTGGGGTCAGGGAGAGGAGAAGCAGTTCAGGAGAGCTTCTGTCTGTATTCCTCAACTCTGTGCACCCCAGGGGTTGACAGGAGGGCCACTGACCTTGTCTATTCTAGAACATGGGAAGGGGGAAAGGTGGAACACAGTGGAGCTCAGACATTCTGGGGACACGTGAGGTGGCAAAATCCAGACCTCCTGTGGCTCTAGGATGAACCCACATTATCTCTGGGCAGCGGTACTTCTCTTTATGTACAATTTACTCATCACACACATCTCTTTTATCTGTCCCTTCTTGCCTCATTATCCCTGTCCACTAACACCTTGTTTTCAGCTTCTGATTCAGGGACATCCTAAGAAGGCTTCTCTTTCCCACTGAGGCATCAGGGAGCCAGTGTGGCTGGGATCCTCTGTCCTCTTGTTTGTCCTCCTCAATCCATCTGACTAGGTCCTGTCACTCCCTCTGGACAGGAGGTAAGTTAGCTTTCACTGGAGGAAGTGAGACCACTTGTGGGAAGGTGTAATGGCAAAGAGGAGGCCCAGAGGGAGGGCCAAACAGATAAATTAAAGGGCTGAACCTGGAAGAGTAAGGACTGAGAAGGGCAAAGGCAGGGGCTGCCCAGTGCCTGCACCATGTTGTGTCCACCCGGGAGGAGGGTTCTTCCCTGGGCCATGCTGCTGCTGCTTCTCTTAGGCTTCCAACCCCTGGAAACTCAGGCCTGGTGTTCAGAAAAAGATATGTACACTCTCCAACTGAAAACCGGGGATCCTAACTTCTCTCCTACGTTGGAGTTCGCCTTACAAAAATTCAACCAGCAGAATAAGGACCAGTATGCTTACAAGCTTGTACAGGTCCTGAGTTCTGAGACTAAGAAGGTGAGTGACCACCTCCTCTCCCACCTTGCCCTCTGCGCCTGCCACTTGGTGAGGGGTGAGGGGAGTATCATCGTCAGTGAGTCCTGGTTGAACATTTGTTGTCCTTGCTCCAATAAAGCAAAAGCTAACTCTGTTAGCATTCTGGTTCAGGACGAAGCTTAACTTAGAAATTAATGTTTTATATTAGGCCAACGCCACTCACACTCAAGATGGGGTTTTAAAATTTGCTTTTATGACATTGTTTAACTAAAGAATGACTTTGAAATAAAAACACTTAGGTGATGAAGCTACCAGTTAAAGAAGAGAAAATGACTGTGGAGATACATTGAAAAAAAAATATTTCAGGGATATAAAATAAAGCAATTATGAAACACAGAGAGAAACACATAGACAAACAGAGATCCATGAACAGAGGGAGGAACAGAGAAGAGAGCATGCCAGGCGGAAGGGGAGGCACTGATGATTCAAAGAGCAATCAGACCTGAGAACCATGGTGGGCTTGGCTCCTCTGCCCTGATTTCCCCCTGCCCCGAGCTCCTTGGTGTGTCTCTGCATATGATATAATCAAGGACTCTTCCTCTGTTCATTCTTATTAATCCAAAAATGTTCTCTTTTTGATGGAGTCACGATAACGCCATCAGGAATGCAATGTTCATCTCCTAATGGGACACCTCAATTTCTGGGGGAGGGTGAGCATCACTCTTCCTCTTTTATAAGAGCTGAAGGCTCTGTGGCCACTGATGTATAGTGTCCTGGCTAATCTGATGTCCCCAAAACCCAGAATGGCATCTGACCTGTTGGTCTCTGGACTGGCAGTTGCAGGGTCCAGCTGGGTGAGTTGGGAAGAATGGATGGATGGGGTGGGAGGACATGGAATGGAATGAGGTGAAATTGAGTGGGAAGAAGTGGAAGGAGAATTTCAGAGTGCACTTTGTCATAGGAGTAGATATTGGCAGTGTACCACAAACGGGTTCTCATGCATGGTGGTAGTGCTGACTGCCATTCTTCTTGCTCTAGCTCAGGGGAAAGCATTGATAACATGTCATATATTAGGCTCCTTCCCTCAGGGCCAAGATTACCTATAAAAACCCTTGGGGAGCCACCACCTTGCCAAGTGCTAGGAATTTGACCTCTGGGAATGCAATCTTAAGTTCAAATGCCTGCTGAGAGTGAGACTGGGGTCTCACTGTGGTGGAGAGGGGACTCTGGGGCTGGAGACAAGTGACCTATAATTGGCATGTGACCTAGCCTGGATTTTCCCCAGGCCTCTACCAGGTCCACTCATTCTTTGCTTTTAATTCCCCGTCTATAGAGGATTCCCCTGGATTTCACCTCCAGTGAGCAGATGTCAAACCCACAGGGAAGCTCCTGAATAGAGGAGAGTTTGGGTCTTCCCTCCACTGAACACAACCATAACACAACGGTCAAGCTACTAAAGGGCAGCCAGAAGGGCTTCTTCACGTTAATCCTTCTGTGTCTGCAGATGAGCATCTCAACAATTTATTCCATGACGCTAGAGCTGGGAAGAACAGTATGTGGAAAATCTGAGGGAGATATTAATGACTGCCCACTTCAAGACAGCCCAGAGCAGAACCATGTAAGCGAGAGCACCAGCTTACCTCATTTCACAGATGTGGGTGCTTCTTGGGCATGGAGTGGGGTGTAGGAGCAGCTCATCAAGCCATTCTTAGGGACGTAAGGAGTAAGCCAGCAGCAGGCTCAATCAGGCCACCCTGCCTGAGCCTCAGTGGAGAGCCCACCAGGCAAGCAGCACAGAGGTGAACCTGAAGAATCATGGCCAACCTCAGTTTCCAACCGGGTCACTCATGCACTTAATAGCTGCCTGCTGACTGCTTCCTAGGACATATGGCCTTCATATTGCTCATGTTTATCTGGGTCTTGGTGTCCTGGGCTGAGTAGAGGATGTCCCTTGCCTGGTCTTCATTTCCTCTACTCCCTGCCTTCATGAGAAGGAACCTGGTGGGCATCCAACATCACTTTTACCTAAGTGTGTAGAGCTCAGGGTCTGCATATACGGACCCAGAGCCTGAGGAGTCGGCAGGTAAGAAAGAATCCCAGGTCCTGTCCTACACCCTGCTGAGCTGCAATACTTATTCTGAGGGACAAGAGCAAGGAGAAGCCCACCACTGGTGACAACCCCTCCTAGGATTAATAGATCCCCATTTTAGAGGATTAATTTGTAACTTAACAGTGACTTAAATCTGAAAGCAGCCAGCTTTCTCTGGGTCAGAGCATCCCTCTCCTGCTCTTGGGAGCTTGGATCACACAGAGAAAGACTGGAGGTTCACTGGAGGTCACAGATTGGAATAGCAGAACTGACACAGGTGCCCTTGGGTCAGCAGTGAGTCCCAGATCAGGATGCAGCTCAGGACTTACCCAGGGTTCAGGTTGGTTGGCCATGCCTGAGAGCCAAAGGCTCCCTGGTACAACTGCTGGCCCCAGGACAGGACAAGGTTAAAATGGATACTGTGTTCAAAGCATGAGCCACAGCTTCCTGAGCCTCCGCCACCCACTGTCCCATCTTTGATTGTTCACTCAGACCTCCACCTGCCTCTTCATAATCAACACCCAGAAGTTGGCAGTAAGTTTCAGCATGCTAAAGAAGAATTGCTCAGAGTGATTCGCCTGATTTGGATCCACCCACAGGACTGGTCATGGTCGGCTCTATCTTCTGTGGACACCAGCCATTCACAGAAGTTGGCATTTCAGTAGCTGAACAGTTCTGAGTTTTATGTCCTAACATTTTACAAAATCTTCTAAAATCTTTAAGAAAATCTCCTTCATCAGGTCCATCATGAAGAATAGATCATTATAGATGATAATAAATAAATCAAAATAGATGCATTTCTATCAGCTTTGTGAGTCATGATTATGAGGGTGATTATGAGGATCAAAAGAGTTATACTCAAAAGGGTGGTCTGCTGTCTCTCTAGAAGTGTCCCTCCTCCTTCTAGACCTCCTGAATGCAGCCACAAGTGGCACAACTAAGGTGCATCTGAGCCGCCGTCTTAGAGTTCATGGCAATGACCCACACATATCCAGAGGTAAAATGACTGTGACTTCTCAGGGCATCTGATGTGCGCCATGGAGGCAGCCAAGCCCTAAGTCCCCTCTCGGCACCTGTGCCCTCTACTTTTAAAGGGCTGGTTTTCATACCTTTCCCTGGTCCTCAGCAGGATGGTAGATAAAGGAAGGACTCTAGCTTTACTCTCTAAGGATAGTCCCAGCACTGGGAGCAGCTACAGCATATCCTGGTAACCTCACAGAAATGGACAACTTCAGGGTCACCCCATCTTTGCAAAAGGAGCCTGTTTCACAGATCCCCAAGGGATGCAAGGAAAATTAATATTTGATATGTTCTGATGTGTCAGAGGCTACTAAGATCATGCCTATATCACTTGACTAGGGTTTGGTACACATTCGGTGGGGAAAAAAAATAGCAACTATTTTGGTGTTTATGGACCATATGGTCTCTTTCTCAATGACCCAATATTATTCTTGTATGTTGAGAGAAGCCATAAGCAATGTGTAAACAAATGAGAGTGACTGTGTTCCGATGAGACTATATTGACACAAGTAGGCAGTTGCTGGTTTGCCCCTTGAGCCATAGCTACCAATCTCCAAAAACCCCTCTATATGCCCTGTCCTTGATGTCTCTAAGCACTACCATGCAGGCAGCTCCCATTTCAGCACCTTCACCTCCCCAGGCTGGGTTCAGGGCCTGCTCAGTGCAAATGGAGTTCCATCAGCAGATTGTTTTCACTTTGCAGGTGTGGAGGTCTGAGAGTCAACCGCCATTACTAGGAGACAGACAGATTTACATTCCAGTCTTGGCATCCCAACTCCAGGGGGCCCAATTCAAAGAGGGATTTCCACATCAATTCTCAGAGCTTCTCTAAGCAGGATTAACCTTCATGGACCATAGTCTGAGCTTTAGAAAGTCATTTACCAAGTTTTCAAATAAGACTTGAGCTGCTTCCATGAATATATCTTCAGCTTTTCTCAGCTGCTACTTATAAACTTTCAGAAGAACAAGAATCCCCCAAAGGTTATTAAAATTCAAGTTCTATCTTCCCCAACTCCCAGGCTACTGACCCAGCAAATATGGAAGGAACCAGGGAATTTTCATTTGTAACCAGCTCCCAAGGGATACAGGTATTTCTGGCCCTGTGGCACACTTAGAGAATCCCAGGTTTGGAAGATCTCCCTGGGACTTGATATGGACTAAACCACAAATAAAAAGTTAACCTCAATATTATTCAGCCATAAAGAAGAATATAATTATGGCATTTTCCAGTAAATGGATGGAATTGGAGACTATCATGCTGAGTGAAATAATCCAGTCCCCCAAAACTGAATATTTTCTCTGATCTGCAGATGCTAACACACAATAAGGGGAAGGGGAACAAAAGTACTTTGGATTAGACAAAGGGGAATGAAGGGGAGGGAAGGGGATTGAGAATAGGAAAGACGGTAGAATAAATCGGACATTACTTTCCTATGTGCATACATAAATATACAACCACTGTAACTTCACATCATGTACAACCACAAGAATCAGAAGTTATACTCCATGTATGTATGTATGTCAAAATACATTCTACTGTCATATATAACCAAAAAGAATGAATAAATATTTTTTAAAAAGAAGTTGATTCAACCTGAAGGGAATCAGGATGAGGCTTGAGAGTGGTGTCTAGGGTGTGCATGGAACAGGAAGAAGGAAGATGAAAGAATAATTGCTTGATGATAAAGAAAAAGCGGCATCTCTCACTTCCCCGAGCCATCAATTTCTAGGGTGGTGCCTCTGCAAGAAGAGAAAATCTGCTTTGAACCCCAGCACCTGACTTCCTTACACTGTGGTCCCTCAGAGCCAGGGACTTCCTAAGAGCTACAGATCTTAAGACCCATTCTTATATATAGTCAACACCCTAAAATTGACTATTTAAATTTTTTTGTGTTTTGCTATTATAAAGAATGGTATAATGAATATTTCTTTAATATCTACTTGTGCATATATTGGATTGTTTTTTCCTTGTCAAGAAGCTCAACTTCTCTAAAGTTAAACTATTTCCAATATTTTTGACCTCTTAAAAATTTGTAGTAAAATTCTTTATTATTTAGAAAATTTCTTTGGTAAAATGTTGTTAAAATGTTCTCTTTTTAAAGCAAATAAGTTTAGCCTGATGTTGTCTCCTATACCCAGAACTCTTTCATAAATAAAGCCTAACTTGGAGGCATTTCTTGTGGCTGACATAAAAATTAAAATCTCGCCTTAATCACAGCTAACCAGTCAATTGGTTTTATAACTGAAGACCTCCCATCACACCAGGCCCAATAATACAAATGTCTGGGAGCTCTCCTCCGCACCACACCCAATAAGGCACACACCTTGACCTTCCAACATGACATGCTCAAATAAGAAAAATGCCTAGCTATAGTCAATCAGGTAGCTGCTTTGTTTTCTTGTTCGGCTTGTAAAACCTTACTGCTCACATTGTAGGAGCAGAGTTTCTCAAGGCTTGAGTGTTGCCTGATTCATAAATACTTCTTTGCTCAAATAAAACCTGTAATTTAATTTTGTCTAAAATTTTTCTTTTAACAGTTTGGTATTAGATGAGAGATTCAAAAGACACCTCCAGTATCACCCCAGAGAATCTACTGACAAGTGAAGGTTTCCACCTGGGTCTACTGTGCTTGCAGTTCTTTCACTGCAACTTAATTTTGTCTAAAATTTTTCTTTTAACAGTTTGGTATTAGATGAGAGATTCAAAAGACACCTCCAGTATCACCCCAGAGAATCTACTGACAAGTGAAGGTTTCCAACTGGGTCTACTGTGCTTGCAGTTCTTTCACTGCAACTGGCACCCGTGTGTGAGATACCTCTCTTGTATGAGATCCCTCTCAGATTTTGAGCTCTCTGGAGCATTTCCTTAACTAGGCTCTCTAGAATCAGATTGGATTCAACAATTAACTAGACTGGGCCCAATTACATGTAGATAACCAATTAATCTGATATAATTATTACACATTATATACATGTACTGAAACATCACACTGTGTACCCCGTAGTATGTATAATTAGTATATGTCAATTAAAAATTGAAAAAAAAATTAATTGTCTTGGTCAAAGGTATTAACATTGGGTATGATGACAATCAGGTCCACCTTTATTTGGAAACACTAATATTTTATGAAATAGTTATTGAAAGACTTGTTCATCTAATAATAGTATCACATATGTAGATATGAGACCGTAATACAAGTTTTTTTCATATTTTTATTGGTGCGTTCTGATTACACATACTGGTGAGATTCATTGTTACATATTCATTCATGCCAGTAATACAAATTTTTAATGCATTATGCCAAAGTATGTTTTCAAAGTATATTTCAGGTAAAAAAAAAAAAAAAAGCTTTTTGTGACATCCCCCACCCTCACTTAATGACAATCAGACCTGTCATGATCTAAAAGCTAGAGATGGAGTCTTTTGGAAAAAATATCCCCAAAAAACTGCCCTTAAATTCGATGGAAAAGTGCCATACCAAGTTCTTCTCACACCTCACTGCAGCAGTGCTTCAGGGCCTCAAGCCCTGAGTCTTCATCTCTCAACTCAAGATGACACTTCAGACCCTTGGGCTATGTATATTCATAGTCCAGGGCCTCTAGGTCATACTGAACTAAGAGGTTTCTTTTTTTTTCCTCCAGAAACATTCTTTTCATGGATGACTTTTCCAATATTATAAATCAAAACTCTTCTTCAATGTCTACATGAAACCTCTGCCCCTTCCCCTCTTTTCCCTGTCCCTTCTTCCTGCATATGGCAGGAGAACACCACAATCAGGATTACACAAAGGACAACTTCTGCAGGAAGTACAACTTGATATTGTACATGTCATGCTAAACCTATAACCTGACACCATTCTAGAGATCTTCTAGTTCACACTATAACAAATTTTACTGATGTTGTAAGTTAAAACTTCTTGTTGGATTTGTGCATCTGGCCTTGTTTATAGTTACACTTTTAAACTCACAGATCGATACTTTTTGCTTAAATCTAACAATAGGCAAAACCTACATTGAGGCTGTTGTCATTAATTTTTTTTTCAAAAACTGAGTGAGACCAAAGGATCATTTGATAGTACACAGAAGCATTCATAACCCAAATCTACATGCTGTAGTAGCCTCTAACCATGCAATGATTCAATCCTGGGATTTTGGATAAAACACATGAATCCTTTTCTGGCAACCCCAGACACAGAAGACATCTCACAGAGTTCGGTCTATTGTGTTCTCCAGAATGTACGTAGGAAATAAGAAGTCGATATGCATACCCGATGCCCTGGGAGGGTCACAGTTATTTTGCCTCTGACTCTTTGCTTCTTCATGCATGAGCCCTGATATAGCAGCTTCTTTAGGTACACCTTAGTTGTATCATGTGGGACCAGCTTAGGGGCCCAAGGTGTCAGGAGGTGCCTCCCCAGAGCGTTGACAAAGCTGCCCCGATGAAGCCAGTTCCACCAACATCCCTAAGATTTCCACAGACAAGTACAGTCGGAGAGCTTCTAAAATGCTAATTTTAATATTCTTTGTGATAAAAATGGACAATGAAGAACTTTTGAATGGCTGAATATAACCCCCCATAACTTGGAAAATATGAAGAGCACATGAGCATTGAGTTTCCCAGCACCTGAAGAGCCACGTGGAGGAAACACTGAGATCCTTGGAAGGTAGAGCAGCCCCTGATCAAGCCTCTAGGTGGGTTTCAATTAGGGCAGCTCCTCGGAGCAGGTCTGGTTCAGGAGGACGAACTCTGTTTTCCAAGGCTTGGTGCTGATGGTGAAGAAGCAGACAAAGGTCTGAGGAAACAATTAGAAAGGACAGTGGCTGAATAAAACTGAAGAATCTTGTGGCTCCCACCAGGACAGGGTCAACCTCAACCCTATACATTCCCAGGGCCATCAACTGAGGCATGTGACTCATCCCTCAGATGTGATCCCATCAGCCTAAGTCTTGGGCTGTTGCTTAACTCTGAACTGACCTAGGGCTGCTCCTGAGCAGGTTCACCTGTGTCAGTTATCTCATTCCAGTTAGTTAACTCCAGAGAAAACCCAGGCTGTCCCTGTGTGATCCGAGGTCCTGAGAGCAGCAGGCAGAAGCTTGGGTTCCACAGTGATCTGCTCTCCGATTTAGGTTATTAGTTAAGGTTTTAGTTAATTCCCTACTTATCTAATTATATTAGAAAATCTAATTATCTAACCCTGGGTGGAGTTGTTCCCTTGTACATCTCACCCAGAGCAGGTGCTACAGCTCAGCGTGTAGGTCTCTCCTCAGTCTCTGCTCTCTCAGGCTTTGGGGCAGTGTCTGCACATTTAAACGAAGCAGATGTTGGAGCGCCACTGGCTCCTTCTCTTGAAAGCAGAGGAGGGAAGGGCAAGGGACATCATCTACCCTCGCCAAGGACACTAGGGGGTGTGAGTAGACTGCCATGTGTCTCAGGCAGCAGGAAGCTATAATGGCATGAGTGGCAAGAGCTGGGAAGTCTGTTTGGCCAAGGTTCTCCAGGAGGACCCCTGGGTTGCCTGCCTGGTGGGCTCCTGGCTAAGGCTCAGGCAGAGTGGCCCGGTGGAGCCTGTTGTTAGCTTGCTCTTATGGGCCCAAGAATGGCTTCATGAGCTGTTCCTACACTCCACTCCATGCCCAAGTAGCACCTATATCTGTAAAAACAAAGGAGGCCTATGTCCTCTCTTACATTGTTCAGTTTCAAACTGTCTTGAAAGGGGCAGTTTTCAATGTCATCTTCTAGTTTTCCACACTTCGTACGGCGCAACTTCAGTTTCATGGAAAACGCCATGACAATCTTGTAGTTCGGCTTGGCCCTGATATCAGCTGGCTGGAAGTGAAAGCCAGTAGGATGATCTCTAGTTTGCATAATTAAGATCAAAAAGCAGGTGGACCTGGTGGAGGCCCCAGGAAGATGTAGGCTGAGTCATCATCATTAACATATCACAAATCTCCAGCCCCCATGTGCCCACTGTACCACTTCACTCTCAGGAGGAATTTGAACCTACAATTTGCATGGACCAACTACACTGCAGAGTGATGTTTCTCAAAATGTGAAGAATAGTCTCTGACCCAAGAGAAAGAGACTTAACATATGAAATGTTATCAATGCTTTCATCTGAGCCACAGCAAGAAAAAATGTTATACAGTGCTACTACTACATCTGAATACTCAAAATTGGAACACTGCCAACATCCATTCCTATTACAAAGTGCACTCTGAAATTTTACCTCCGCTTCTGCCTACTCAATTCTACTTCATTTCGTTCCTCAGCATCCCACATCATCCATTTTCCCAAATCACCAAACTGAACCTGCTGCTGTCAAAGCCAGTGATCTCACACGTCAGGCTCCCACCTGGAACAGCACTGGCCAGCAGACCAGCCAGGGTGCTACACACAAGCTGCCCCAGGAGCTTCAGCTCTTTGTGGATTTGGGGTCCCATTACTCTTGTTTGGGGGCTCATGGTGCTAAAGGAGGAAAAGCAATGCCCACACTCCCTCAAGAACAGAAGTGCTTCATTAGTAGGTGAACAGTGCATTCCTGATGATGTTCCATAGCACTTATATTAAAAGTAGAACATTTCAGGAATAAGAATGAACAGAGGAATTTTCTGGAGATGTCAATGTGCTGTCAGATAGAGACACATCCAGGAGGCCAGCGCAGGTGGAAATCAGAGTAGAGAAGCTGAATTCACAGTGGTTCTCGAGCCTGGCAGTGGATCAAATTGCTCCTTCAATCATCAGTTTCCTTTACCTTCTCTTTACTCACTCTCTGCCTCTACTTTTCTAAGCATCCCCATTTGTCACATGAAATGACAAAATTTGAAATTTTTTCTTACTTTATCACAATGATGTATTCTATATGATTCTTTTGCTTATTCTCTGCTATATTTCCTAAGGTGTCCTCATTTGGAAATTGTTCATCAGTTAAATAATATCATAAGGAAGAAGACTAAATAATATTTAAACTATTCAGTGGAAATAGACACTATTTTAAAATGTCAACTTAAATATTTCATAAAAATGGAAACTGACTTGTATTTTACCTGAATATGGACTAGTAGTATAGGTTACATTTTACCCAGGTATGGATTAGTATGGTGACCCAAGACCACCCACTGATAAGAACCCTCTCACCCCAGGTTCCCCCACAGATAAGCAGGTGCAGGAGGGCAGAGCAATAGAGGATGTGTCACCAACCTTATTTTTCCAAGATTTAAGTACACGCACCAGCCTATAGGCATACTCATCCTTGCTTTCCTGGTTGAATGAGTGCACAGCAAACTCCACTGTGGCAGGAAAGTTATTATCTGTGTTCCTTGTGTACTCTATTATGGCCCTTGAGAGAGGGGTCACCAGGAGCAGCAATCCAAATAAAAATAGCTTCATGGTCCAGGGCAGAGCCCTCCTCCCAGATGGACATGGCATGGTACAGGCACTGGGCACCCCTGCCACAACCCTTCCCAATTCTTGCTCTAAGAAAAGCTTACTGGACACAGGTATAGCCCTTATATTCATCTCCTGAGGCACAAACTCCTCCTTCTGGGGACTCCTCTCTGCCATTACAGTCTTACTGTTCCTTCCCACGTGTTGTCTACCCTCCTACAGCCAACATTGTTCAATTCACCTCCTGTCCATCCAGGAGGGAGAGAACCCTGGCAGGGTGGTTTAAGGAGGATGAACAAGGTGATGCAGAATTTCCTGAATCAAATCCCCACCACACCTGCCACCTATTGCCTCAATGAAGAAGAGGGACTTTGATTGGAATGCCCCAGAATTAGATGTTGAAATCAGGAGATAAGCTCAAATAATTAGCAGGAGACCAAAGAACAAAAAGAATGAGAAGGAGCACCAAGTGTGATTGGGGAAGAGAAGTCACAGCAGCAGGGTCTCCTGGGACATGCTCCAAACCGCCTGAAGGTGCCTGGCCTGAGACCTGAAGGGTCAACTGAGAGTGAAAAGATCTCTCAAGCATCACCTCCCTGTTGCATTGGAGCTTTGGTTCTGCTCCCCTGGCAGAGCAGCCTCCTCATGCAGAGACAGAAAGATGAGCAGGAACTGGCACTGGATTCAACAAGCATATGTATGGGTTTTGGCAAGGCTAAGGGTGGTCCTAGTAACCCACACTTCTGGGGGGAAGAGATGGAACTAGAGACAGAGACAATGCCATGCATTTACCACCAGGTCACTTTCTCCTGAGCACACCTGAACACAGGTCCAGCCTTGTAGTGAGTTCTCATAATGTTATGTTGCTTCAGCATCTATTTGTAAATATGTTTAACCTTCTTAAATCAGATGGGAGCTCAGAAACCGTCACATAGTTCCTAGGACTCTATCTCATCAGAATGACTGTAGCCTGCAGCCAGAGACAGAACTCACAGGCTCTCTCTTTCCTAGCAAGCTGTTCTCTGCACATATTCACCATCTTCTTTAAAGGGACTGCTCAACGTTTGCCCTGAACATAAACTTACCTCCTCTTAGTCACAGGTTACCTCTGAGAACAAATGCATGTCTGTTTTAATCCCACCAATTAGAGCTCTGCCGAGGGCATAGAGCTCCCCCGAGGGAAAGGCCCAGGCAACTCTTTCTCTCGTTCTCCCTTTGTTCTCTGACCTCCATGTGTGTCCTTCAGGCATCCTGTCCACCCCCATTGTCTGTAAGTCCTAAGACCTCCTAAACTTTCACATTGTGGCTATATCATTGAGGCCAGACTCTGAGGGTGAGATCATTCCCCTAGGAAACCCATGTAGATGGAGCTCCTCATTGTGTTCTGTTGGGCCATTCAAAACAATGGGCATCATAGACAGCATGGCAGACCAGGTTTAGACACAGTCTCTGTGTCTTTCTGCTACCAATGCTTTCTCACTTCCAAAAGCACCATGAATCTTGGTCTGGGTTGTCATTACTGCTTGCTGCTACTGGGTCATGCTGAGGGGTACTGCTGTTGTTGAAGTTGCCTTGGAGAAGAAATTCTTAAAGGCTTTCTGAGTTGTGGGATCCCCTGCAGTCATAGAAAGTCAGATCTTAGAAGAAGAAGGAAGTTTCTCCATGCAGCATTTACTGCCTTCCTGGTCTCTAAGCAACTGGCCACTATTCTTGGGTCTTGTTAGTCTTTGAATCAGGTGTGGGGTTGTGGCAATCTGAGTTCTCAGTAGTGGTCTGGACAATATAGTTTGTGAATGATGAAGTCCTGGTGATGGGATCAAGATGGTGAAACTATTCTTCCGTCTTCTCACAGATGATAGAGACGCAAGAGTGTTAGTCAGCATTCCACCACTGTGACAAATTACATGAGAAAATCAACTTAGATGAGGAAAGGTTTATTTTGATTCACAGCTTTGGAAGTTTCCATCCATGGCTGGTTGGACTATTGCTTTGGACCTGTGCCAAGAAGCACATCATGGCAAGAAGCGTGTGGTGGAGCAAAGATACTCACCTCATGATGAGTGAGAAGCAAAAGAGACAAAAGAGGCCTGGGGTCCCAATATCCCCTTCAAGGGCACATCCCAAATGACCTAACTTCTTTCCATGGGACCCACCTCTTACACATTCCACCACCTCCTAATAGAGGTACAGACTGGTGTCCAGGACTTCAACTAATGGGCATTTAGGAGACACTTTAGATCTATACCAGAGCACACAGTCTACCTACCAAGCTCCAGGGAAGCAGTGATTCCAAGATGGTAACAATCATGGATGACCGGGCTTGGACTTCACTGTGGGGGTGAAGTGGAGCTGGGTTGCAAGGCTCAAATTACCTAAACCTGACCCATTACTTGAGGTGGGTGGGTAACTCCATCTGAGTTCTAGGATGTCTCCAAAGAGTAGGTGCTGCTGGAGCAGGCAACTCTTCTGTTGCTGCATTTCTTATAGTGCTGTCCCTTCTCTCCCTTGACCCTGCAGAGGTCAACTAGGATTTCCTGGGACAGGAGGTACCTGCCTCCTATTGTTTGTTAATAACAATTTGGAAGGTCAAAACAACAGGTGACTACTAGATACCACTCGTAGGTAAAGATCAAAAGACAGAAAGAAAATAGAAAAAAAAATACCATCAATCTGGAATTAGAAGATGGTCTAAAATTTCCATTTGAAATGGAAAACAGGAAATATCATCTTGCATGGGGACCAACCCAGGGAGAGGCTACCACTCAGGGTGACTGTGTCCCTCCTTCTCTTATTAACCAGAGACAGAAACTGAGAAACTCCTCAGCTACAGGTGATTAAGAGCCTAAAACAGAAGAAAATGGAAAAGAAAAAGGAAATGAAGAAAAAGAGACTGTCCTAAGGAATTATTTTAGAGAGAGAGTAGAAATTTATATCTTGAAGTACCAGAGAAGTGCCATGTCTAGCAAACTTAATGCTAGAACTGCATTACTTATCACTCTATAAACAAACCCCAACATAAGAGGAAGATAAAGGCAATTGAACAAATATTATAAGTATTTTTAATATAACTGTGTTAACTAAACAAATTGTGTGTCTGCTATATTTTTCCATAATTAAATTCAAAGAGAAATGAAAAATTTATATCTAAAAAGCATACTAGTTAGCTTCTGTGTTTCTACAACACAATCTAATTAAACATTGATATTTGTAAAAGATACATTAATTGGCAAAAATTTATGGGCTTAGCTCTAATTATAATTATATCTGGGATACCACTACATTTAAACATTATTTTCCCTACAGTAATCTTGAGAAAGTCAATAAACAGAAAACAGAAAAAATGAGTATGCCTCATCTGTAGCCTTTCCTATATGTCTCATAGTCTTATTCTCTTTGCTATAAAATATTCTGTTATACATCATTCGTGATGCCATGTTCCTGCTTTCTATCCCTCAGTCAGGCTGTCCCTAATAAAAATGGGGTCAAAGAAACAATACACATGACCAAATTTATTCCTTTACCTACCAAACCTGGGTAGGTATGTGAGCCAGTCTCTGAAGATCAGAGATCACATAAACCATGAGAGGACTGGTGGTTGTCTCTGGGTCTCACTGTGTATATCAGATGCCCTGGGATGTCACAGACATTGTGCTTTTGGTCTAATGGGTCCTTGGCCCTGATCCCCCACTTAAGTTCAGATCCACCTTAGTTCTACCATCTGTGGCTTCTCTGGAGACCCAGGGTTGGAGAGGATCCCACCAAACCCGACTCTACTGCACTGCCTCCATCAACTTCCCCATGTACTCCCTCCAGAACCACAGAACACAAAACTTCCAGAAATTCCAACGTTGAATGAGCTATTCCATGTGACAAAACTGGAGCAGTGGTCCTCTCCTTGGACAATATCCACATGCCCACTTGTGAAACTTCAAAAGAAGAACGCTCAAGCACTCAGATGCTCAGCCACTGTAGAGTCATCTTGAGGAAGCACTGGTATCACTGAAAGAAAAGAAGCATGTGGACAGGTCTGTGGCCCGTCCCAGTCACGGGATTCATTCTGAGCACAAATCTTTCAGGAGTCTGAAATCTGTAGTCCCGGGTTGGGCAAGGACAGTGAAGATGCAGGTGAAAGTCGAGGGAACAAGAAGAGAAAGATGCTGGGAGTGGAGGAGCCTCAGAAGGTTTGTGGTGCATACTCTGAACACAAGATCCATCTCAATCTTTCCCTTCTAGATGTCAGCAGATGGGTAAAGGGGACATTGACTCTGATATGTCACCATCCTTCCTGAACCCTGGGAGGGTCCTGACATATACCTTGATCTGAGGCTTCATCCTGAGCCAAAGGTACTTGCATTAATTCTCCTCCCCATCAACCTCCAAAGGAACTCTCAGGATTTTCCCATGTGCTTCAAGACCCTAAAAGTTCAGATAGGATGGTTCATCTTAGTGTGAGCAGTTCCCACATATATGCTATTAGATAATCTTTCAATTAATCCTCTCATAAAGGGTCTACTTACCTTAACTGAAGTTGTCACCAGAGATGAACTTCATTTCATCCTGTGCCCCAGAGCAGGTGTTGCAGGCAGCACAGCAGGGACCAGGGAATGGATGGGGAGGGAGGGCACTGGGGTACCTTTTCACCCTCCAACTCCTCAGGCTCCATGGTTGTGCCAGGTGATGTGAAATCCACACACTCAAATCCACACACTCAGGCAAAGGTGAAGTTGGAGGTCCAACAGCCTCCTCTTGAAGGCAGGGGAGTAGAGAGATGAAGACAGGCAAGAACACTCTCTATTCAGGCCCTGGAAACAGTGACTAATGGTGACATAAACAGTCTGAAGGCCATGTATTTCAGGCAATAGTCAACTCTAATGATGTGAGTGGCCAGAATTGGGAACTCAGCTTGGCCAGGGCTCTGCAAATGGAGCCTGGGCTCCCAACAGCCCAAATGGCTCTTGGTGAGCTCCCTGCTGAGGGTCAAGAAGGGCGGCTTGTGGAATCTGTTGCTGGATTGCTCCTCTACGTTCCAAAGAATGGTTCTG